TCACTGTAGCACATATAATAACAATTAAGTTGGAAATATTGCACGGATTACTAAACTATGATGCAGAGACACAAATTCAGCACATACTGTTGGAAAAAATGCTCAACACAGGGTTGGAATAAAACTGCAATTTGTAAAAAATGCAGTATCTGTGTAGTACAATAAAGGAAAGCACAATAAAATAAGGTATGCTGTATGGTCAAATTTTGAAACATGGATTAGAAAGCTACATAGCAGCTCAGGATAGTAGTTTCCTGTGACACCAGAACCTCTCAACACTACTAATCTATCTGAGCTGGAATAATAATAATAAAACTTATTTGCTTCCATAATTTCCTCAGAGGTAGCTAAACACTTCTCTTCTCACCTAGCCTCAAACCTTGAAATTGGTCGAGGGCAAAATTAACTCATCAAGCACCCAATGGAGCTACTCTAGAAGTGCTGAAAGTTGTTAGAGGGGTAAAGATAGGATAAATGGAAATGCACCAGGCCAGCTACTCTCCTGGATCTCTGCACTTGGCTTCTCTTCTCTCTTTGACTCTTCTATATAATGGGCTCTCAGAGAACCATCTCTCAGTTCTTTCTTTATACTTAGAGACTTTTAGACTCCTGTTGTCCCTATATTCCTTCTCTCTCAGGCTTTTGTCGCTATAAGATGATCCTGGGGCTGATTCTCCTGTAGGAGATTCTGTCTTTCCTCCAAAGCCTAGAAAGCCAAATATCAAAGAAGGTGAAGTTCAAGGGAAAAAAGGCCTCTTCTCCAGGTCTTAAGTCAGTTCACAGGACAAGGAGACCAGGGAGAATTTCAAGTTGCATTTGGTCCAATATTTCCTATACAATGAATAAGCACTGCTTCTGAGCCTGGTGCCACCTATTCAACTGCCACTCTAGGTGTCCTCATCCTACACTGAGTCCCCACTGTGTGGAGAACACACCACTAGCCTCATGCTTCTTCCTTGACTCAATCATTCTTTGACTACATCTAACATCTGAAACAGATTGCACCGTCCTTCAGTAAAGAGAGCCTTGCTTCTCTTTTATAATGAGAAATTATGAAGATTGAGGAATGCTTTCCGTGGATATTTCTAACCAAGACACTGAATTTAGGGTGAGGCAGAAAGGACTACTCTTATCCTGATTCAAGTAAAATATTTTTATGTAACCTAGAAGATGTAAAAGTCATCGACATAGAGCTGAAAAGTCAACTGCCTCCCCAACCTCCCTTCCCCTAATAGTCCATAAATACTGGGCTATGTTTACCCCGGGGGGCCAATTAAGGAACTTTCACCCACCACACTCACTGCTAATGGATCAGCACTAAAACCACAACTCATTTTGCCCCAGCCACATAAACACTAAGAAATGCTGTTCCCCGACAAAATTACCTGGACACGTGCCCTAGGCATGAAAGACTATTTTCCCAATGATTCATCTGAAGAGACAACTGAAGTAATGATTTTACTATCCTTGAGAAGCTGAGGGTCTCTCATTTTTTATTATGGATTTTAATGCTCTTGGAGTAGGGTGCATTAGCCAGGGCTCCAGGGCTTCAGAAAGGTCTGCCATTATTTGCAGAAAAATTAATCGGTGCCTACAAATGTATTAGAAGTCCCTAAACACCAAACACCAACTTCTCTTTATAAGTAAATAGATTTGAAAGAGGCGTTGACTATGTCAGGCCAGCTCCTGCCTTGTTTTAACCTCAATTCAACCAAGTTTAATTTGAAAGACCCACAAAGTCTCTGAGCTCTCTCATTCCTGAACCCATCCTGAGAGGAACAGGAGGCACAATAGCTGCTTCTGCCCCAGTTTCTGGAAAGGGGTTAGGTCTGCAAACCCACAGGGCACTCATGAGCTATGGACTCCCATGTGGCCACTGAATTGTGACCATTTCTGCTTTGCCACAGAGGCCCCTGTAGACCTGAGTTTTTGGATGGTTGTCTTGGATAGGATGCCTTATGCGCCACTTCCCTCAGAAGACCTGAAATAACTGTGAATTTGAGTTTGCTTATATTGGTTCAATCCTGGGTGCTATGGTTTGAATGCTTGTGTCCTCCCAAAATTCAAATATTGAAGCACTAATCTCCAACTTGATGGGTTTGGAGGTGGGACCTTTGGAACATAATTAGATCATGAGTGGGAGCCCTCATAAATGGGATTAGTGCCCTTATGAGAAGAGACACTAGAGAGATGGTCTCTACACTCCACCAAGTGAGAATACAAAGAAAAGGTCATCTCCAAACCATAAAGCAGGCCCTCATCCGACACCGGGTCTGTCAGTGCCTTGATCTTGGACTTTCCAAGCTCCAGGAAGGACCATGAGAAATCGTTGTTTAAACCACCGAGTCTATGTCACTCTGTTAGAACAGCCTGAACTAGCACACCTGTGAATCCTGATCTTTATCTTAGTACTCACACCCCTAACTTGACATGTCTCTTGAAAACACACCCGGCTCCACCTATACCCTATACCCTCCGTGTGTGCCAGTGCCACCTTGTAGATGACACTCCTTGGCATCAATAGTAGCTTGAACCATCACTTGGGCTCCTGGCTGCCTTGTAAAATGAAACAAAATCAAAACAAAACACAAACAGCAAACAGCCTCTGCTGCACAATTAGCTCTACCAGCTTTTGCAAGATATTCCAAAGAATGAATCTTACCCACCCAGGCATGATTTATTCCCCCACTTGTGGGGTCCTTTGTCACTGTCAATCCCAGCAGGGATAGTACCTGGGTCTATTAATTTATGACAGGTGACTTAGATTTCAGGTCACAGGATTTAACTTGCAGTAAATCCAAATTTGCACAAGGATAATGGGCACTCTACTACATTTTATGCCAATAAACTCTAATGTGGTAATTAACAACTGAGCACATTTACTGATAAGCTGCTCATTACAGAAAAACCTGAGAACTAGCAGTGTTATCAGAGTCCACAATTTTTAAATCTCTTTTAGAAATGCTTTTTTGCCTGTAGGGACTAAAAGCTAGGAAAAATCACAGTCGTCATTCTCAATGCTATTTTTCATGAAGGCTTTAGTGTGATAAACCCTTAGAGATGAGAACTGGTTTCATAGATTTCACCTTATTATTTCATTATAAGCTTTGTCTTCATTTAAATTTGTTTCATAAGATATTGCACTGATGGAAACACTGGCTACTTCTTTTTTGTTTGTCCACCTTAAGCTAGCACTGGCTCATTCATTCATACCGCAATCATGTTATAATGAGTCAGGATGTTATGATATAGGGAGAAGCCCAGTGGGTGTGGCCAATTTCCATTAATAGTGCATCCAGTCTTTGTCTTCTCTTTCAAGAATGTTTTCACTCCTAGTCTTCTGTAGGTGGCAGTCTTACAACTCACTTTCTCTTAGACCTTGATTATCTTTGCGATTAGCGTACTAACTGTAGAGCATCCTCAAAGCACAGGGGCCAACTTGCCTCACCTACACTAATTCAGCATTGACTGTGTGTCCTTAATAAATGGTAGCCATGGTGCCTGGCCCTGAGGGATAAAAACATAAATAAAACACAGTCTGTCTTCAACAAGCAAACAATATTTTGATGCCTTTGGTTATCCCTTGGTTCTTTATCACCTGCACTTTTTTCTTTTGTTAAAAGTAATTTGATTGAGTTCTCTCTAGAGAAGAACAACATTCAGACAGAAATGGTAGATGAAGATGCTTCACAATATTCCAATTCATGCTGGTCTCTCCCTTTCTGAAAGTCTCCAGTACAAATTGCTTTGTACCACTGATTCTGCCATGTGATAACAGCATTTTGTTGTATTTCTTCATGATTAGATTCTTCAAGTGGCTGTGTATGTAAATTTTGTCACACCAACTACATCTTTAGCTGTTGTAAATTCTTTGTGCAATAAACATACAAAACAGATAAAATGGCAAGCTGTTTGGAAAGGGGAAAAAATCCTATCACATCACTTTTAAAACTGCACAACATTCAACAAATGTCGTAAATTGAATTGATCTCAACTGAACTGACACTGTCTTTTAGATATTCTTTGGTGTCTCAAAGTTACAAATCTATGAGGTTTGCATTCCATCTGCTAAACTCATAAATACATCCCCTAAGTTTTACAGTTCTGCCACTGTGACTTCTAAATTGTTTTACGATAAATAGATGCTGAGCCCCTCAAACTCACAACACCAGTGAAGTCTAATGCTAGAGCTAATCAGGGGAAAGGATGATATAAATGCCAAACATAAATTGTAGAAAAAATGCCATAAAACTCAATGGAAACAAAGTAGGTGGATGGAGGATGGCTTGGTAGGTATCGAATGAGTACAGTGCATGCTATCTTGGTGATGGGCACACTTATAACTTTGACTGAAACTGCACAAAAGCAAATCATGTAACCAAAATGATTGTAACCTCTGAATATTCTGAGATTAAAAAAAAATTTAAAAGAGACAAAAAGACTAAAAATAAAAAAAAGAAATGCATTTTTAAAAAATTAGAGGACTTCAAAATAAACCTATAAAATAATTTTTAGCAAGATTTCTTATACATACTTTAATGAATACATAAGAAACGTTTGGAATTATCCCCTGGGATATTGTTTCAACATTCAGGTTTCTTACATCTTTAGCTTCTCAACTTCTTTTGGTTTCTTTGTTTGTTTGTTTTCTCTCTGAATTTCAAAATTATTAAGTTTCTCTGATGCAAAAGCAAAACACAATGATTACCCATGACATCTGAATTCTCAACTACAAGGGCACTTCAGTCCTCAACTTACTGGTCCTCTCTTTGGCACTAAGCCCTGCTGACTGTGCCTAGCTGGAAACTTACCACTTTCTTGGCTTCCATGATAGCACTTTCTCTGGTTCTTCTCCCACTTTTCTAATTTTTTCTTTTACATCTTTCTTTTAAATATTAGTTGCTCTCAGAATTATTTTTGAAAATACATTTTTTTTATTTTGACATGCTTTTACCTGATTTCATTAATTTTGTTTAATTTAACTATATTCCTTTTTTTTTCATTTTTTTAATTTCAGCATATTCCTTATATTGTGGTTTCAGTTATAGCTCAAGCTATCTCAAGTTGACCTTGATCTCCAGATAACACAGGTGTTTTCAATTCAGCACATCCAAAATAGCATTTTCCCCTTTAATCCCACCTCTCCTAGAGCATCTCTATATTTAATTAATGTCACCCAAGCCAGAAACTTGTAGCTCCTCCCTGCCTTTACCTGGAACATCCAATCAGTTGATAAGTCTTACCAATTACTTACTTGTTGGTCTTCTCATCCCAGTTTCACTCACCTACAGAATAAAGCCCTAGCTCTGATGCATGCCCACTTCTCAAACCTTATTTTACATCACTCCAACAGCACTGAACTCTATTTCTATGAAATGTATTAGCACACATAAAATGCTTAAGAGTTTCTGGCATATGGCACAGTCAACAAATGTCAGCTGTTACTAGTATTGCTATCACTACCCCCACCACCACTCCTACTTCCTCTAGTATTATTAGTTCACCACACTCACCATGCTATTCCACATTTTTGTGCCCGCCTTTGCTGGTGCTATTTCCTTTCCATGGAATTGCTGTTTTTGTCTAAGTCCTCACTCTTCAAAAAAAAAAAAAGTTTTCTTCGATCCTCAGATCAAACTAAATGCTCATATTTGAGGCTTTGGTGTAAACCTGTGAAAACTTTGACATATATACATATATATATATGTTTGCTTATATATATATATATATATATATCTTAATAGATTGAAATATAATTATCAGGTTTTTGTCTGTCATTTCAACTAGAGCAAGAGTCAGAAAACTACACTCCTGGGGCCAAATCCAGCCCACTTCCTGCTCTTGCTTATAAAATTTTATTGGAACACCCACACGCTTATTTGTTTATATATTATCTGTGGCTGCTTGTGTGCTACAATGGCAGAGTTTGATAGCTATGATAGAGACTGTGTGATCTACAAAACCAAAACTACTTACTGGCCAGTCCGCAGTTTCTCAAGCCTCGGCATTATTGAGATCTGGGACTGGACAATTCTTATTGCAGAGGGACTGTGCTGTGAATTGCAGGATGTATTGCAACATTCTTGGCCTCTATCCACTAGATCCCAGTAGCATCCCCCCTTCACTAGCCCTCCAACCCTCTACCCCAGTTTTAACAAGAAAAAGAGTCTTTGGACATTGTCAAATTTGCTAGGCATCAAAATTGTCCACAACTGAGAACCACTAACCTGGCCCTTTACAGAAAAATTTGCCCACCCCTGAACTATAAGATCTTCCAGGGAAGAAACTGTGTCTACCTTACTTAGCATTCTGAACATCATGCCTAGAATATACTAGAAGCTCATTAAATCAATCATTTACAGGTAGTTGAAGGATCATAAGACATTCCAAAGCAATTTAAACTTCTTAAGAATTTTAGGCTTGAATGGAACATTGTTGATCATCAAGCCAATATCCAATTTTATAGTTAAGTTTTGTTTCCTTTAGCATTTTAAGCATCACCTATCAGAACGGTCACATTAATATCTACAAAGAAAAGTTACACTAAGAAAGATAATCTTCATTACAAGCCCATTGGATTGCCAGGAATTTAAAAAATGTGAAATGACTGCATTCATATTTCCCATATGCACATACATTTCATTTATTCATGAATAAAATTTTTTTGTTATGTCTATAAAGAAGAAATTATTCTCCTTTGGCCGATAGAATCATTTCAATTGTGGTCAAAATGTAATATGGAGAAACAGCAACTTCTTTAAAGTCCATCAAAAAATTCATTTGAGAGCTATAAATTACTTTCCATTCTCTTTAATAAATCTATAGTATACACAGCATTGCCGGAAATACAAAGACTTCTCTGTTTTCAAACGGGTTATCTGCAAGCCAAGAAAGATAACAAATGACTACAGGGCACTGTAAGGACCAAATGAATGACAATAATAGTTAATATTTATTAAGTACTTACCATGTGATAGATTCAGCTAAAGATTTTATTACATCATATCATTTGATCCTTATAAAAAAACTCTATGTGGTAGATACTATTAATATACTCATTTTATAGATAAAGAAACTGAGTTCCAGAGAAACTAACTAACTTGTCCCGAGGTACATAGGTAGTAGGTAGCTAAACCAAAATTTGAACCTGACCATCTACCTCCAAAGTCTGAGCTCACACACTCTGCATTATATAAGCGTGCTTTGAATTTAGAAGTGACAAAAGATTACTGTTCACCCAGTGGTCAGTAAAGCAGGTGGCCATGAGATAGGTCCTGGAAGAATGGATAAGAGAGAAGAAAGGGAGAAATTCTTGCTGGGAGAACCAAACAAACAAGTTTTAGAAGTAAGAATGGAAGACACAGATTTAGATTTAGAATAATATGAAATGGCCACTCTGGTTAAATACGGGGAAGAACTATGAGGAGGCAGTAGCAAAGTTGAAGCCAACCTGCAGAAGGCCTTGAGTGGCAGGATGAAGAAGACAAGCCCCGGTGGGCACTGGGTGTTTCCAAAGGATGGCACAAAGAGCAAAGCAGGGTGGAATGCAGAATACAGAGAATGGCAGAGAATGGAGGCAGAAAGCCTCGTTACGGTACCGCAACAAGAGGCGAGGCATGGGGCAGAGGGAGAGGTGGAAGTGAGGGGTCCAGAGAGGAGAGGACAGAAATGAGTGAGAAATATAACAAAGGAATCGCCACTGGAATTCTGTGATTGGCTGGATGAGAAGGAAACATCAAAGCTCACTCTGAGGTTTCCAACTTGAGTGGATGGGTGATGACATTTTTAGCTGTTCTAAACCTACTGGATGACAGGTAACCCTGCCTCCATTCTGCTCACACTTAGCACACTGCCCCCACCTCTCTTCTAGAAAAGTTATGGGACATCCTATGCTACTTCTCATCTTTCCTTTCTCAAACCTCATAACCATTTGGTTTTGCCTCCTTCCCTACCCATCTCCTGGAAAGAAGGACTCAGAGTTTAAGAAGGTGCAGGTCCAGGGAGGGATTTATGCAAGGATAGAGTAGACTAGCCCATGTGTGTGGCTCTGTGAAGAAATGCATGGCAAGGCAAAGATCAAAGGTGCAAGAGAAAAGTTCTAGATATCTATGGACAACAGCATGCATAGAGTTTACAATATAGTATTTGACATTTTGTTAAGAGGGTAAACTCCATGTTGTATGTTTTTTATCACAATTTTTAGAAAAGAAAAAAAATATATATATATATACACACTACAAGAGAGCAGGAGCAATGGAAGAGTAAAATTCAGGAGGTGGGAGGGAGGGAGAGAAGGAGATGCTGAGCGCAGGTAACAGGTGAGCTGATAGAGGGACGCTTGCTCTCCAGGATAAAAGCAGAGAGGAAATCTCCCTGGATGTGAGATAAATAGGCAGATGAAGACTCCAAGGGGGAGATAAGCTTGATAAGTTGGCACTGCCTAGTGTGGATATTTTTAGAAAAGCAGCATATCTCGTCCCAGACCTTTTGTTGCTCCCATCGCCTCTCTCAGTGAGCCATGGCCACAGTGGTCTCCTTGACTTTTCTTGAACACGTCAAGCTTTTCCTGGCTTTGGGTCCTCTTTGTCCTTGTAACCCCCTTGATTGGAATGGCCTCTCCCCAGACCTTTGTGTGGCTGACCCCTGCTTTCCTCTTAGGTCTCGACTTAATTAGCACTTCCTCAGAGAGTCTTTCCCTGACCCTCAGTCTGGGGGAGACCCACTTACTCTCCCATTAGCCTCTTCCATTTCCTTCAGCCCACTTATCATCATCGGAAAGTATCTTAATTGTTTTTGCATTTACTATTAGTCTCCTTCAACCATAATGCAAATTCTGGAGGCTCAAGGACCTTCTATATGGTGTCATTCACTACACTCCAACTTTTAGAACAGCTCTTATGACACAGTCAGGATTCCATGAATATTTACTGTGCTCATGAGCGCTATTGAGAAAAGGAGAAAATAAGCAGATATTGGAACTCTGGAAAAATAATTCTATCACTAAGATTCACCAATATTTATTATTTTATTGATGAATATCTTCCAGATATTCATGTGTCAGGACCTGTGTTTAACTTTAAAGGGAATATGCAATCTGTATAAATCCTTGTTCCTACCTTCTAGGAGCTCAGTCTACTGGAGGAACAAGTGAACACAAACAATTAAAATACAATGTGAGGGGACTATAATAACAATTACGGTGCACTGAAATTATGAACTGAGGGCTGCGGGAGCATACAATAAAGTGTTTCTAACTTAATCAAGGTAAAACAAGAAAACAATTCTACTAAAGTGTAGGGAATCCTGAAGTTCAGAGTTGGGCATTTCAAATGTGGAGGGTTAAGGAGTAACCACTAGGGAGAAAAGGTAGGAAGTATAGACAATCCTTCCGAGAAGTTTTTTAGTGAGAGTCAGGAATGAGCTAAGGTGTAAACCAAGCAGGAGACAGGATGAAGGAAATAATTTTGCGGGTATCTCCAGCTGAGGAATGGAGCAGAGGTGAAGAGAAGATCGAAGATAACTGAAGAAAGAGGGAGTTCTTACAGGGCTAAATCTCAAAAAAAGGCAAAAGAGGAAAGGAAAGTTTATCTTATAAGACAGGAAGGAAGAAGGTAGCAATGAGTATCTTTGAAGCTAAGTGTAGAGGTGAAAGGATAGAAGTTTAGCGAGCATAAGCTGAACAGTTTCTATTTTCTCTGCAAACTATGAGATAGACCATCTGCTGATTCTGGCTAGTCAGAGTGAGGCTAAGGGAGAGGGAAGGAAGAGAATTTTATTGGTTGATAATTGGTGTGCAGTGTTGCTGCCCTAAGCTACATCTTCACTGATTTGTGAAGTAAGAAATTTTGTTCTTCTCTCTCTCTTGAAATCTATGCGGAAAGTAGTTGTGGCACATGGTCCACAGAGGGGATGGAACACAAGGTTACAAAAGCACAATAACACTAATGGGATAGTCGTTTCTGCATTTGCAAAACAATTTTAAAATACATTAGCTAATTAATTAGCTCAATGATTGTTTTATCCCTGTAGGTATATGTGCACAAGGACTAGTTTTTTTAATCTCCTTTGAGGCATTCGAAGACACAAGAGATTTTGTCTCAGTGGGAATGTTGTGGTAGATTACATTTGCTGTAAATAAGTGACATTTTTAGAAACCAATGAGTTCCACTGAATTTATTCTGAAGAGAAAAAAAAATGCAAAGCTAAATAAGAGGCTCCTAAAATCAGACTGAAAATTCATAATATGTCTAAAAAGAAGCTGCTTCTCATTCTGATTTTCTGAAGGCATTAGAGGCAAATAGCTCCAATTTCACGGAAAATATTGGGCTAGAACAAAAGGAAAGAGTGCCATGCTGCACATCTCAAGACAAAAGTATTCCACTGCTTGACATTTACACCAAGAGCAGCAACTTCCCTCTCAGGTCCCATAATGAAAATCATTCCTCCATTAACAGGTTGAGCAATATCAATTTGTGCAAAGTGAGAAATCAAGCAAAAACTGCCTTCCTCTCAGAACAATCAATGGCAAGGTGAAAGAAATAGGTAATTGTATCCGGTTTCCCAGCAAGACATTTTTGCCTGATTAAATGACCTTTCCTATGAAGTGGAGCCTCTGAATGGCAGCGAGAGACCATTCTCTAGAATGGATTTAACCAGAGAATCACCAACATTTTTCTGGGGTGTTTATTTCCTTTTCTTCATCACCAAGTCTTACGGTTGAGTTGGTAGAGATGGCAGGAGGATTCGTGATGTTGGCAATATTTACATCTCAACTACGACACTTATAACTGTGTGAATGGGAAGGGCACTCACTCTCTTTAAATTCAAATTAGGAATGATAATAGAATACACTTCATAAGTTTTCTTGTGAGAATTAAATTAGGGAATATGTATGAATCACATAGCACTGGGCAGACACACACTTCACATGTATTCACATTGTTAAGTGCTCAGTCATTCTTAGTCTTTATTGCTGCTGTTATGATTATAATCGCTGTGGCTGTAATGGTTTTGGAGATGATATAAGTGAAAGATGAGCAACGAGAAATAATTATAAGTGACTAATAAGTGGTGGCAGTGCCTGGAAACTCAGCTCCAACCACAAGGGCAACCCAATGAGTCTCTGTGGGAAACGCAAAGTCAACTGATTTGGAGATTAATGAGGAAAGTCTTCAACACAAGGAACTGGTCTACTCAATTAGCCACATTCTTTCTTTTCAGACAACTCATTTGCCGTAGAGCTATAGAGTCTATAAAATCGAGGCCAAGCAGAGACTGGTTGCCCTCATTGACAATTCTTCCTTATGTTGAGTACCCAGCTTCTCTTCATTAACTTAGTTTTTCTTCTTGAGGATATGTGAGCCACATTAATCCCATTTCCACAGGACAGCCCTTCATGTATGAAGGAAACTCCCAAACCATGGGCACAGGTATCATTTCTTTCTCAGGTTAAATGACCCTGGATCTGTCAGCTAACCCTTTTCATGTCAGGATCTTGAGTCCTTGAGTGCCTTCACTTTTTTCAGAGCTCAGCTCTAAACATATTCTAATCTGCCAATTAGTTAACATTTTAGAAGCTTATCAACCAGAACTGAAGGCAATATTCCCAATAATTATACTAGCACATAGTGAGAACAATGAGGATAATAATTATAAATAAAATTTTCTGAGCATTTTATACATCTCAAGCATTGTTCTAAACATTTTGCAATGCATTATCTCAATGAATACAACAACTCCATGAAGTAGGTATAATTATTGTACACATTTAATAAATAATACAGTTAGGTAAATTGCTCAGCATCACACAGCTAATGGGAGTAGAGCTGGGCTTTGCAACCAGGAAATCTAACTCCAGAGCTGCTTTCTTAGCCAATAAACTATATAGCAGAATTGTCACCTCCTTTGTTTTATAAATTATAACTCTATTAATTCAGCCTCAGATCATATAGGCGCATGTTTTCTATCAGTCCCAGTTCCCTGCCATCCACAAAGTTAATGTGCATGTTCTTGTATGTTCCCTCAAGTCCCTAATATAAATGTTCAGTAAGACATAGCCTTGTGACATCTAACAGAAACTTACTCTATGCCTCTATGCCTACTCTGTGCCACAGAGAGTCAAACTCACTCTCTCCGCCCCCACCTGCTCATTGTGGTCCCTTGTAATCTAGAAAGTAATCTCTTTTCCAGAAGATCCCATTTATCCTCTTTACAAAATTTCATTTTTAAATTGAATCACGTGACATTGTCAATATTTGGCCTTTTTCTGTTTTTAACACCACAAAGATGGTGAATTTTTATGTTCAACTCATGTATGAGTTTGCTAAAGCTGCCATAACTAGAGACTACAGATGAGGTTATTTTCTCACACTCCAGGAGGCTAGAAGTTCAAGATCAAGATGTCGGCAGGGTTGATTTCTTCTGAAGTCTCTGTCTTTGGCATGGAGGTGGATATTTTCTCCCTCTGTCTTCACATGGTCTTTCCTCTGTGGATATCTGTGTCCTAATCTCTCCTGTTCTTACAAGGACACCAGTCATATTGGATTAGGGCCCACACATAGGACCTCATTTAATTTTGATTATCTCTCTAAAGGCCCTATCTCTAAATACAGTCAGATACTAAAGGTTAGAACTTCAACATATGAATTTGTAGGGGACACAGTTCAGCCCCCCAACAACCCAATAGATAGCTCCTGAGATGTAGTTCCTCGTTTTCCTTTTATTCTTTTGCCACATTCCTCCATTTCCTCTGATTTGTATTTCTACTTCTTCCTACATTGTTCAAATCTTGTCCTTTTTGGTTACTTTTTTGCATTGGTTCTTCCATTCTCTCAAGCCATTTTTACCCCCAAATCCACAGAATGCTTCTTTGCAGATCTTCCTAACAGGAGTGGAATAAAACTTATCTTCCTACCCCAAATCTAATAAGCAATAATTTGTATGTCTGCACTACATTTACACGAAGTCCTCCACAGTGGTGTGCCTTTGCATTAGCAGTGATTACTGTCCTCATTTTACAGGTCAAGATATGGATATCCAGAGAGATTGTATAATTGCCTAATTAACATCAGAAACTAAACCTGGTAGCTAGATTCCAATGAAGTAGGTCTTTTTATTAAACTACACTGGATTCTCCTAACTTTTGTACATTTTTAATCGTAGAAACAGCAAAGAGTAAGTGGTTCCTTGGCCAAAACTAATTGATTTTGTTTCAATTAATAACATAAATAATAACTACGTGAACATCTGTGTAGTGTTTTATATTTTATGAAACACCTCCCTTTTTGTTATCCCATTTGTGCCCTACATAAAAATGCTTGAAGCAAGTATTATTCTCTCTCTTTACAGATGAAAAATCCGAGGATAGTGCAGTTGATTAGCTTGCTCAAAGTCCTGCAGCTACCTGGTAAGGTAAAAGTCTATGCAACACTTATATCGTGTAAAGCTTGCCCTCTTCTCCTCTCCCATGCTGATGCTCAAATCTCACTTGGGCTTTGCTAACCCTGAGGCTACACAGTACTTTTAATGACAGAAAAATGAATATTTAGGCCCGTTTGCATAACCTAAATTTACCTGCTTATGGACAGAGGCATTATTATCACCTGAGAAATCTGGAAGACTACCAAAACAAGAGCTTGGAAAACAAAGAATTAGGGGAAAAGAGATTGGAGATGGGGAGGACAATGAGTGAAGAAGCAAGAAGACAATTCAAAAGAAAAACCAGAAGCGAAAGTACATGATGGTATAAGAAGAAATTAAGTGACACCAGCACAAGACAGTGAGATGGGGTAAAATAAAATAAGTATGTATTCTTTTTAGAAAAAAAAAAAAAGCGACAACAAACACATTATCCCAAAGCCCGCAGGTGCCAGCAATTCAAATAAACGTATAGCAATTAACAGAATTAACACAGCCTTAAATAGCTTGGCTCACCAGATGTGGACGCCTATCAGGGTTCTATAAAATGTAAAGTTATTACGGATTAAGCCATTAATCATCTGTTCAGAGACTATCTCTGGCTGCAAAACCCCATTCGGTTTTAAATGGCTAATAATCACAAAGGGATGTGGAATGTAATGTGCACGATGATGTTCCACCCAATCCTTTTTCCTTTAAATATGTGTTCCATGCTCCCAATTCTCTTGCTTCTCTTTCCTCCCCATCAGAGATGCTGGGAAAAAAGAGAGGTGAGCCCATGGGCCAGTCTGTCCCAGGGGTCTTAGCAGCACTTGCGCATCTCCACAAGGGGAAACGGAGGAGTAACAGATGGAGGAGAAAGAAGGATGATGTAGGAAGAACCAGATCAAACACTATGGAAAGCCCCAGCACATAGGAGGCTGTTCTGATGGGCTTGAGTGATCTGACAGGGACACTACCTGCACAGCTCCGTCTCAGCACGGCTTTGCCCTACCACGCTGTCATTGAACTTCATCCAACAGCGATGGCTCAGCAATGCCAAGGACGGAGGGAAGGAGAAATGCATGACCTCACAGGGAGGGTCTAGGAAAGCTGAAGTGGGAGTTAGAAAGGAGTGCTTTTCTGTAGAAATGTTAAGATTCAGAGAGACACTCTCCAGTCCAGTGCTGAAGCTGATGGAACACCCTTTCCATCCCTGCTCTGCAACTTCCAGGACAAAAATATACATCAAGGGGGGAGTAGGAGATGGACTAGCTTTAGTCCTCAAGGAATTAAGGCCCAGTGGAGAAGATACCAGTCTGGAGAAGATGCCATTCCACTGCTTAAGATCTTTTGATGGCCCCTCATTACCTAGAGAATAAAGTCCAAGGATATAGCATGAATAAAGCTCTCTACCTAAGTTTGCACCTACATCTCCAAAATTCCTAATCTTCTATTTGGGATCAGTCCTGAAATCAACTGTTCTCAAGTTCCTCCCCAGACACCAGACTGTGCCCTTACAAAGGGACCCTAGAGAACTCTCACCCTATTTCTGCCACATGAGAATACAATGAGAAAACAGCCATCTACAACCCGGAAGCGGCCCTCATGAGAACCTGACCATGCTGGCACCGTGATCTTGGACTTACAGCCCCGAGAATTGTGAGAAATAAATTTCTGCATTTTTGTCATTACATAATCTATGGTACTTTTTTATACCAGTTTAAAATACTGTTGATGTAAATGCAAGCAGATTTTAGCGCTCCACTGGGTTAGCTCATTTATTTATTTATTTATTCCAGACACATTCATTGAGTACATTTTTCATGCCAGGGACTGTCCTAGGTGGCGATAAAACACCCCTGAGCAAATAAGGCCTTTGTCCTCATGGAGCTCACATTTTAATAAAGGGAGCTGGCAGTGTCAAATAAATGACCAAAGACAACAAACAAGGTGATGACTGAGGGTGGGTGGGATGGGTTATCCCTATGTTAGCAAGTAAGAGATAATTTTAGTAAGGTAAACCTCAGAATATTTTTTCTGGAAAAAAATACTAAAAAATATTTTTTTTAGTAATTTGCAAATATGAGCAATGTAGAGATTGCATGTGCTAATGTATACTCACTTAGACTTATATTTATATTCATAAACTATTTTATTAGATACATTACATAATACTTAATAACATTTGCTATAGCAAAACACTATTGTATTTTGTAATGCCATGTGGTTTCACTTTTACACACCTCATTTCATTTGTTCTTGAGAGGAACACAGCAGAGGTCTTACCATCTCCGTGTTATAGGTTAGGAAACTGAGGCTCAAATAAGATCAGCGGCTTATGCTCAGCCATACAGCCAGTGACAGAGCTGGTGTTTCTGACCAGATTTGCTGATTTTAAACCCAATAGTCTTTTTATTATACCACGATGCCTTCCTCAAAGACTTTTCTATCCCGTTCTTCCTAAAAGAGGGTCCAATCCATTTCTCTTAGCCTGGCTCAGGCTTTTCATGTACCATTTCTCTAATATCAGATAGCTGGGCAGGGACGGGAGGAGTTCTTGAAAGATTCAACTATTGCTATGTCAAGATATTCTTTACCTATTACTGGGCATCTACCCAAAAGATCCAATGACACTCTACAAAAAAGACACCTGCACTCGAATGTTTATAGCAGCACAATTCATAATTGCAAGGCTGTGGAAACAGCCCAAGTGCCCATCAATCCAAGAATGGATTAATAAAATGTGGTATATGTATACCATGGAGTACTATTCAGCTCTAAGAAACAATGGGGATATAGCACATCTTATATTTTCCTGGTTAGAGCTGGAACCCATACTATCAAGTGAAGTATCCCAAGAATGGAAAAACAAGCACCACATATACTCACCAGCAAACTGGTATTAACTGAGCAGCACCTAAGTGGACACACAGGTACTACAGTAATAGGGTATTGGGCAGGTGGGAGGGGGGCAGGTATATACATACAAAATGAGTGAGATATGCACCATCTAGGGGATGGTCATGCTGGAAATTCAGACTTGTGGGGGGTGGGGGGAAGGGCATTTATTGAAACCTTAAAATCTGTACCCCCATAATATGCTGAAATAAAAAAAAAATAGATATTCTTTAGTCATCCCAGGAAAGTCAAGTGGTCCACAGCACCTAAGAGCATTTACTAAGAAATATATTTATCAATTTACAAACATATTCTTTCACTCAGCAAATATTTACTGAGAGCTGCTAAGACCCAAGAAGTATTTTAGGAGCTGGGAACACAATAAGAACAAAAATAAGACAAATACATTGAAGCATCATGATAACACAAAGAGGAACATGTTGCTGGCTTTGGGATATTTTAAGTGGACACCAATCTTGTCTTGATAACGAGGGTGTGTGGAGAACCACAGCAGCTTGATGACAACTTGGACGCTTTGTTGTGGCTTTTACAGTGGCATCCATACGGACGATGCATACAGGTAAAATTCACAGTCACTGGGCTTAACAGCGGAGTTAGAACTTAGCTTTTAGGTATGCGGTAACTATAGTTTGAAAGATAAAAACTATTTTATGCCACACACAAAGAAATATTGATGACCTGGAACGGAAATCCTGTCGTCTCTTCGCCATGCCGGTAATTTGAAGAAAATTACACATAAAAGCACTCGGTTCAGTTTAAGACAACTTAGAGCCACAAATGGCAAGAAAAGATTAGATAAAAAGGCAAAAAGAGGGAAGGGAAGAAGAAATTGTAGAATAACTGGCAACTGGTCTACAGTTGAAACTGTTCTCCAGTTAAATAACAACGTGGGTAAGTGGAATTTATCAAGTAGCTAAATCCCAACCTAGCAGGAAGCTCTTGCTATTTACTAAATTTGTCAAAGACAAATACCAAGAACAAGAGAAGACTGTCCCAGACCTGCCCACAGAAAAGTGAACTGTGATGATTAAATGGAAAGAAATGATATGCCAGGAACATGCTAGACTCATAGTTATCTGTTCAAAGTACTCAGACAGATGAGAAGGCCTCCGAGTCCCTTAGGAGGACTATAATGCTATATATGCAAAGCAGAGATGAAGGTGGGAATTAATAACATTCTTCTTTTGTCAGTGTTTTGGATTTTCCT